TTAGGCTAGACATGCCTTGTTCTCTTAACCATTCATCCTAAGGTTTAGCATCCAGACCCCTTGCGGACTTATAGCTAACTCAGGGGTCGGCAACCTTAAACACTCAAAGAGCCACAAAGGTCCTAACCGGAAGCCCCCCCATTCAATTCTGGAGCTGACCGGAAGTCCGGTTCCCCCACCATAGAGTCTCCTCCTAGCGCGGCGTCCTTTTTCCTCTACCTGTCCTAACCGAAAGTCCTATCAATTGTGGAGCCGACCTGCGACAGGGAGCCGCAGCAGAGGGATGAAAGAGCCACATGCGGCTCCAGAGCTGCGGGTTGCCGACCCCTCGACTAGACATTTAGCCTCCAGACCACTTAATTACCTTTATCGCTCTTCCTTCTAGCGTCTCAACATCTTTTTTCATTTTTTTAATTTTTGAAGGCCTTTGCAATTTGAAAATAAACTGATTAAATGATTAAAATAATAATCATAGACTGCCTTGAAGGCACCTGACAAATCTCTCCCCCCCTTCCCCGCCCCCACCCCCAGTTCTGTTTTTCCAATTAAAAGCATCCACCCACTCTTAAACTTCTGTTTATCCCCAAGGAACGGCTGTAAGGAAGGCGTGAATGTTTTCACCGATGGTGGGAGAGAGGGAGAAATTGTCAAATGCAATATTCAGAGTTAGGGAATGGTTACTTTGGGGTCAGCGAAGCTCTCAGGGGGGAAAGGAAATATTGAAACATTCCTGGAATTATTCATTAGGGTGGAGAAATTGGGGGGGTGATGTAATTCTGCAGTTCTGTAGTTTATCACGAGTTTGGAAGGGATGAAGATGGAATCTGGAAAAATATGATTTTTTTCCCGCCCGCCAGGATTGGACTGCCTGGGTTTAAAGAAAGAGGCGTATTTTAGGGGGTGTTGGGAAACCCAATATAACTCTTTTGCCTCTTGGACAATCTCTGTAGAAGCCTTTAAGAAATCCCTGATAAAGATTTCATGCATATAAGCCCAAGTTTTTTGGAGGGGTGGGTGGGTGGAATACATATTCCAGGTGTCCAGACTCATAAAAATAAGAATATCTGGCAAATTATGGGTATTAATTCAGCCAAATTTATTTAATTCATTTTATTCGATTTTAAATTTTGTATATGTATGTGTTTTATTTTATGGCTGTTCACCGCCCTGAGTCCTTCGGGAGTAGGGCGGTATAGAAATTCAATAAAATAAATAAATAAATAAAATCTGATTTTTTTCCTCCGGTGAGTTTCCGGGCTTCTAAACTGCAATGCCCCTCTGTTTCCAAGGGCTCTTTTTTTTTCTTCCTACAGATCCACATCTGAACCTTTCTGTGTTGTCCCAGATGTGCTCTGCGTTCTTTGTTTTTCCTTGAAGACGTTTCGCTTCTCACCTGAGAAGCTTCTTCCGTTCTGACTGAATGGCGGAGGATGGAAGGATTGATCCTCCTTTGCAGTCCTCTGGTCGTTAGCGCTCTGCCTGAGAGTCGCTGAGGCCGCTTGGAGGATTATCTCTGTGCCCTCGGGGTCAGCTGGATAGTGCAAATGGGTGTGTGGAACTTTTTTAGGATGGTGTTGTAGACTGGAGATGGGGGGAGGGGTGTCGTATCCCTCCTCCAGTCAGAACAGAAGAACCTTCTTGGATGAGAAGCGAAATGTCTTCAGGGAAAAACAATATCCAGTTGCCTTTTAGAAAAGCGCATTTGGGACAACCATGACCTGAATGATGGAGAACGTCAAAAGACATGTTCTTGTCTCTTACTTTCTTGCATATTTCCCCTTAAGCCTTAGAGGGTGGAGGTGGCCTCATCATTTCTTTCTTTCTTTCCTTCCTTCCTTCCTCACTTCCTTTCTCTTTCCTTCCTTCCCTCCCCTTCCTTCTTCCTTCCTTTCTTCTTTTGTAACATTCTTGCTGTGGCTTTAGACTCCCTCCCTCCTCCTTTCTCTTTCTCTTCTTTCTTTCTTCCTTCCTTTCTCTCTCTCTCTCTTTCCTCCATTCCTTCCATCCCCTTACTTCTTTCTTTCTACTAACATTATTACTGTGGCTTTAGACTCCCTCCTTCCCTCCCTCCCTTCTTTCTTTTTCTTTCTTTCTTTCTTCCTTTCTCTCTCTCTCTCTTTCCTTCATTCCTTCCTTCCCTCTCCTTACTTTTTTCTTTCTTTTTACTAACATTATTACTGTGGCTTTAGACTCCTCCTTCCTCCCTCCCTCCCTCCCTTCTCTTTCTTTTTCTTTCTTTCTTTCTTCCTTTCTCTCTCTCTCTCTTTCCTTCATTCCTTCCTTCCCTCCCCTTACTTCTTTCTTTCTTTCTACTAGCATTATTACTGTGGCTTTAGACTCCTCCTTCCTCCTCCCTTCCTCCCTTCTTTCTCTTTCTTTCTTGTTTCTTTCTTTGTTTCTTCCTTTCTTTCTCTCTCTCTCTCTCTTTCCTTCCTTCCTTCCTTCCTTCCTTCCTTCCTTCCTTCCTTCCTTCCCTTCCTTTCTACTTTACTAACATTATTACTGTGGCTTTAGACTCCCTCCTTCCCTCCCTCCCACCCTTCTCTTTCTTTCTCTTTTCTTTCTTCCTTTCTCTCTCTCTCTCTCTTTCCTTCATTCCTTCCTTCCCTCCCCTTACTTCTTTCTTTCTTTCTACTAGCATTATTACTGTGGCTTTAGACTCCTCCTTCCCTCCCTCCCTTCTTTCTCTTTCTTTCTTGTTTCTTTCTTTGTTTCTTCCTTTCTTTCTCTCTCTCTCTTTCCTTCCTTCCTTCCTTCCTTCCCCTTCCTTTCTACTTTACTAACATTATTACTGTGGCTTTAGACTCCCTCCTTCCCTCCCTCCCACCCTTCTCTTTCTTTCTCTTTTCTTTCTTCCTTTCTCTCTCTCTCTCTCTTTCCTTCATTCCTTCCTTCCCTCCCCTTACTTCTTTCTTTCTTTCTACTAGCATTATTACTGTGGCTTTAGACTCCTCCCTCCCTCCCTCCCTCCCTTCTTTCTCTTTCTTGTTTCTCTTTGTTTCTTCCTTTCTCTCTCTCTCTCTTTCCTTCCTTCCTTCCTTCCTTCCTTCCTTCCTTCCTTCCCTCCCCTTCCTTTCTACTTTACTAACATTATTACTGTGGCTTTAGACTCCCTCCCTCCCTTCTTTCTCTCTCTCTCTCTCTCTTTCTTTCTTTCTTTCTTTCTTTCTTTCTTTCTTTCTTTCTTTCTTTCTTTCTTTCTTCCTTCTTTTTCTTTCCTTTGCATATGCAAGCCCAACAGCTCTCTTTCCAGCGAGACACAGATCTGGAAAAGGAGCCAGATGTTGCTGCTGACTATGCAATGGGTTAGCAAAGCTTAGCCGGGAGAGTAAGACATAGAGGAGCGTTAGGGATGACTTGTGTAAGCCGGAGGGCTTTCTTAGGATCACCGCCTTCTCCCATCAACTCAACTTTCAAAGGGAAAATTTAATTGAGCGGGGTTTGGTTACCTTCTCAAGCTGAATCTCATTTTCCTTTCTTCGAATGCCAGCTTCTTCCAAGGGGAAAGGTGGGTGATTCCCCAGGGATGATTAATACCAACAGGTGTTATGAGTCTTAGCTTCTCACTCACCTTATCCCAGGTAACAAAAAATAACAGAATAACAGAATTGGAAGGGACCTTGGAGGTCTTCTAGTCCAACCCCTTGCTGAAGCAGGAGATCCGCTCTCAGACAAGTGGCTGTTCCAGTCACTTCTTAAATCCCTCCAGGGATGAAGCACCCACAACTTCTGAAGGCAAGCCAACACTAGCCAGCACTCCAGAAGATAGGCTGAAGATACAGAAGGATCTCGACAGACGTGAACGTCGGGCGCTATCTAACAAAATGAAATTCAACGGTGAAAAAAAGGAAGGTTCTACATATTTAGGCAAGAAAACCAAAATGCACAGGTACCGTATATGTGGGACCTCACTCAATAGTGGTGACTGGGAGAGGGATCTTGGAGTCCTAGTGGACAACCATTTAGATAGGAGCCAGCCGTGTGCAGCAGCTGCCCAAAAAGCCAACACAATTCTAGGCTGCATCAACAGAGGGATAGAATCAAGATCACGTGAAGTGTTAATACCACTTTATCATGCCTTGGTAAGGCCACACTTGGACTCCTGCATTCAGTTTTGGTTGCCACGATGTAAAAAAAGATGTGGAGACTCTAGAAAGAGCGCAGAGAAGAGCAACAAAGAGGATTAGGGGCCTGGAGGCTAAAATACATGAAGAACAGTTGCAGGAACTGGGTTTGTCTAGTCTAGTGAAGAGAAGGACCAGGGGAGACATGATAGCAGACTTCCAATATCTCAGGGGCTGCCCCAAAGAAGAGGGAGTCAAGCTATCCTCCAAAGCACCTGAGGGAAGGACAAGAAGCAATGGGTGGAAACTAATCAAGGAGAGAAGCAACTTAGAACTAGGAGAAATTTCCTGACAGTGAGAAGAGTTAATCAGTGGAACAACTTGCCACCAGAAGTTGTGAATGCTCCAACACTGGGAGTTTTTAAGAAGATGTTGGATAACCATTTGTCTGAAGTGGTGTAGGGTTTCCTGCCTAAGCAGGGGGTTGGACTAGAAGACCTCCGAGGTCCCTTCCAACTCTGTTATTCTATTCTAAGCCATTCCACCAGTTAATTGTTCTCATGGTCAGGAAATTTCTTCTTAGTTCCAGGTTGCTTCTCTCCTTGATGAGTTTCCATCCGTTGCTTCTTGTCCTGCCTTCTGGTGCTTTGGAGAATAGCTTGACTTCCTCTTCTTTGGGGCAGCCCCTGAGATATTGGAAGACTGCCATCATGTCCTTCTTTTCATTAAACTAGACATACCCAGTTCCTGCAACCGTTCTTCGTATGTTTTAGCCTCCAGTCCCTTAATCATCTTTGTGTCTCTTCTCTGCTGGAGAGAAAAACCCCCAAGGCCAAAGAAAGGATCTTACGGTGGAAGAACTGAAAGGATGGCCACCATTTTCACTGGTCACATCTGGAGAAGATGTGTATTTCTCCAGAAGAAATAGACAAACCGACATGTATCACGTTCTATTTATTGTGTCTCTCGACAATGCCGTTTTGCAGCAACGACAGCGTTCGAACGAGAGGAGAGAGAGGGAAGGACCGATTTGTTCCCCAGCGCTCTGGAAGCCCCACCCATTCTGATTTAGCCACGCCCACTCAGCCACGCCCATCTTCAGCCACGCCCCTTTTCCCGAAAAGTACAGCTAGCCCTCAACTTACAATCCTTCATTTAGCCACCATTCCGAGTTACGACGGGGAAAGGTGGGGAAATAAAAAAGTGATGGATGAGTCCTCGTACTTGTAACCATTGCAGCATCCCTTGCAGTCACGTGATCGAAATATCAGCGCTTAGCAACACAGCCTCCCGGGGTCAGGTGATTGGCCATGGGCGAGTCATGTGATCACCCATGATTTTCCCAGGGAGCCTCCGACCAGCAGAATCAAGGAGAGGATCTGGATTTGCCTAGCAACCGCGTGGTCTGCTTAAAAACTGTGGCGAAAAGGTCCTAAAATCGGGTGTAACTCACTTAACGACCGCATCGCTTAGCAATGGAAGTTCCGATCCCGATTGAGGCTATAAGTCGAGGACTACCTGCGAACTATGGGATTTTGCCCCAGATCCCTGCCACCGTACCCATAACTTAACTCCCCACAAATAAAGTGTGTCGCTTTAATTAAAGGAAAATATGGGAGAATTCCAGATGTGGATTCCTGGTAAAATTGTACGACGGAGGCCAAGAGGTCTCACGATTTGGACTTGTACAGGTAGTCCTTGACTTATGACCAACTGAGCCCCAAATTCCTAAGAGACACTTGACTGAGCTTTGCCCTGTTTTACGACCGCTCTTGCCACAGTTGGTAAGTGAATCATTGCAGCTGTTAAGTTAAGTGACTCTGGCTTCCCCCATTGACTTGGCTTGTCAGAAGGTCGCAAAAGGGGATAAAACGACCCTGGGGCGCTGCATCCGTCATAAATCCGAGTCAGTTGCCGAGTGTCTGAATTTTGAATTTTGTCACAACTGTTGTGTGACCGATGGTCACAAGTCACTTTCTTCAGTGCCGTTCTAACCTCGAACGGTCACTAAACGGACTGTTATAAGTCAAGGACTGCCTGTAATCTAACCCTTATAGGAGGTTGACTTTGGCTACCACCTGTTTACACCCAGTCCTTCCAAATTCCTTCCCTGCCTTTTTGTAATAGCTGAGCTGGCCGGCCAAGCGTTCGATGTGACTCGCGTTCGGGTAAATCCCTTCGCTCATCATCTCCTCGTAGAAGCAGCTCAAGATGTGAGTTTTCTCCAACAACCCGAAAGGGACGATCTCCACCCCTGTCCAGAAAGAGTGGACGTGGCTCAGGATGGGCCGAAGAGCGGACTGAAGCTCGTCCAGCTTCTCCTGAGGCTGCAACGAGTCATCGGAGACGTTCTGGAGGAAGCGGTGGACGATCTCCTCGCCTCCCAAGTTGCTGATGAGAACGTAGACGGCGTTGAGGTATTCGTTGGTTTGGTTCTTCTGGAAAAACCCACCCAGGGTCTCCAACAGAGTTTCGGGCATGAATTCCACCTCATCCAGAATAAACACGGGGATGATTTCTTCCATTTCGGCTCGAGCCACCATGTCTCCGATGGTCTCCGATAACTCCAACTGGCAGGTGGAGACAGAGGTTCCGACAGGGCAGTGATGCATTGTGAAATAATGAAGCACCGAATGGGGTCCCATCACGGACCGGAAGTGCTTGGCGAGAAGCCAACCGATGTGGCTCTTCCCGACTCCACTCGGACCGTTGAAGGAGAGGACCAAAGGTTTGTTGTGGACGTGGGTGGCCAGGTAATCTTTCAGCAACCCCATGACCCTTTCGATGACCAAAGGCTGCCCAAAAACCTCCCGAGCCATGGTCTTCTCCAACCCATCCAGGTCGTACTTCATGAGGTTATCATCCAAGTTCTCGATGGCGTTGAGGATCTGGAAGCAAATGATGGCCACGAACAAGAGGAGGAATCTGGTGGCTTTGCTTTTGTGCTCGGCGGGCAGGTATTTCTTCGAGCTTTCCGGGTACAGCACTCGAGGGTTCCTCGATTTCTTCTTACGCCGTTTGGGCTTGGTCACATGGAACGGGCCAGCAGGGTCGAAAGTGAAATACTGGGAACTGTTCAAAGATGCTTGATTGGCGACACCGGTGAGTTTGCCTTTCCCCAAGGAAAACTGTCTCTGGAGGAGTTTGTCTCCAGACAAGTAACCTTTTTTAAACGCGTGAGCTGTCCTCCGAAGACGAACCACGGCTCGCATGGGGGAGGACATCAAGGAAAGCTTCTGCGGGCTTGCCACGGGAGTCTTTCGGCTTTCCATCTTGACGTCTTCCCGCTGGTTAGATTTTTCTGTAGAGAGAGAGAGAGAGCAAAGGATGTATAAAGGGGAAAAAAAAAAATAAACGACGGGAGCAGTGAGTTAGACATGTCCTGTTTCTGCACCAACCCGCCTCCCTGAGCAAGTCAATCTAAGCCTATCCTGAGTTGGCCTCAGAAGCCAACTTGAGACGAACAGTCATATTCACCGTAAAATCAGGCAAATGAGCAGGGCAAAGCAGGCAGGGAGACCCAACCGAAAGGCCCGTGGCTTTGGTTCGGAGGTTAACCCTGGAGGAATATGCCCACGTATCTAGACACAAATATGCTGGTTTCAAAAAAAAAAAAAAAGGAGTTAATTCTCTGCTTCAGGGTCGTCCTGTTGGAAGCAGATTTGTTCAGAAGAGTGGAAGCTGTTTCTTGGTATCCTTTGACTTTCTTTCTTCTTTCCCCCCCCCCTAATTATTTCCCACACCCCGCCCCGCCCCGTTCCCCACCCCTGTCTCTGGTACTTTTAGCTTTCTCTTTGATTTCTCGCTTTTCTTTCCCTTACTTTGTATTCATTTTAATAGATAAGACGATAGAGATGTAGACAGGCAGACAGACAGAGACAGACAGGCAAATTGAGCGGATAGGCAGACAGACGTTGAGTAGTAGATGGTGGATGGATGAATGGATGGATAGATAGATCTCGTTCTCCTCTCTCTTTGTTCTCTCTTTCTCATTTTAAGTAGTGATAGAGATAGATAGATAGACAGATGACAGACGTTAGATAGATAGATAGATAGATAGATAGACAGATGACAATGACAGAGATAGATAGATAGACAGATGACAATGACAGAGATAGATAGATAGATAGATAGACAGACAGATGACAATGATAGAGATAGATAGACAGACAGACAGATGACAATGATAGAGACAGATAGATAGATAGATAACAGACAGATACATAGATAGACACATGACAGACAGACACATAGATAGAAAGATGACAGTCAGATAGATAGATAGATAGATAGATATAGATAGATAGATAGACAGATAGACAGATGACAATGATAGAGATAGATAGATAGATAGATAGATAGATAGATAGATAGATAGATGGCAGACACATGATAGATAGATAGATAGATAGATAGATAGATAGATAGATAGATAGCAGACAGATACATAGACAGACAGATGACAGACAGACAGACACAGATAGAAAGATGACAGACAGTCACATAGATAGATATAGATAGACAGAGAGACAGACAGACAGACAGATGATAGATAGATAGTAACAGTAACAATAGTTGGGAGATTGGTACTAGGGATTCAAACTGCCGAACTACCGATCTTTCTGATTGACAAGCTCAGTGTCTTAGCCACTGAGCCATCTAGTCAGGCAGATAGTCAGATAGATAGATAGATAGATGATAGATAGATAGATAGATAGATAGATAGATAGATAGATAGATAGATAGATGATAGATAGATATCCTCTTTCTTTTCTCTCTCTCTCTCATTTTGAGTCGTGATGGACAGATGGATGAGAGACAGAGACAGAGAGAGAGAGAGAGAGAAAAATGGATTACACAATTTCTACCTTCAACCCTTCTATGTTTTTTCCAAGGTTGGTGGCAGGAGTGCCAAGCTTTCAGGACCTTGGCACTCATGCTTAAGAGTGCCTCTCTTGCAATCTGGACGATGCGCCTTGTGGTCGAGCAGCGCCCCCTTGAGGCTGGCCATTACGGGCACACTTTCTCCTCTCCATATAAGATCCCGCTATGGGCTGCAAACATAGCCCATGGCCCATTCTGTGGTCTTTCCTGCCCTCTGCTGGTCGTCTGTATTTCTGCAGCCCAGCGAGGGGTAGCTCTGTGAATACACAGATCGCCTTCGCCAGTGAAGCCAGGCGAACATCTGCAACCGTCATAAGTACATGCCAGTTGCCAAGCCTCAATTGCGCGACTGTTTGGGGATGCCGCGACGGTCGCAAGTGTGAAAAACGGCCCCCGAGTCGCTTTTTCCAGTGGCGCCATAACTTCGAGCAGTCACTAAACGAATTGCCGTAACTGTATTCCGGACGCGTTCGTCCTCCAGAGCTTCCCTGTGATACCTCTGCATGAGTTACTGAGCCGAGCTTTGTCTTCGGTGTGGGCACGCGTGTCTCTCTGTGTGTGTGTGTGGGGGGGTGTATCCATGTGCAGCAGCTTCTCACAAGCAGCCTTTGTCGTACTTGCCAACTCAATGACAACCCCAGCAAGACAGCCGGAGCTCCGTTCCTCTTTTCTCATCTTCCGCCGGTCTGTAAACGGGGCCCGCGCGCGTGGGAGACGATGGATTTTTCGGGAACCTTACACGGACTTGTACAAACACAGCCTCTGTCTCCCAGACGTGGGTCATGCCTCAATCTCAGGCTACCTAGATTGCATCTGGCAATTATCTCTGCTAAGAATGCTCTCTCTCTCTTTCCCCGATAATTATTAACTTTGATTCCTGGGTTCGGAAGAACTCAGCAAACCAGTCGGAGCTCATTCCAGCTTTGCAAACGTCCCAGATTTGCCTCTTTAGTACCAGAAGGAGAAAGCGACTAGGGTCTGTTTAAATTTCGCCTTCTTCAATTCTCAAACAAACAAACAAACATAAAAACCAGGTTACAGGTAGTTCTCAACTTACAACAATTCGTTTAGCGGCCATTCAAAGTTGCGACGGTGCTGTCAAAAGGCGACCGATAGCCGTTTTCCAAAGTTACGTCCTTGGCGGCTTCCCCACCATCACGCGAACAATATTCAGAGGCTTGGGAACTGGTTCATATTTACGACGGTTGTAGCGTCCTGGGGGAGGGGGGGCTGATCCGCTTTTCCGACCTTCCGACAAGCAAAGTCAAGGGGGTGGGAGGGGAAAGCCAGATTCGCTTAACAACCGGGTGACTCATTTATCGAGTGCAATGTTTCCCTTAACAACCATGGCAAGAATATTGGGGCGAAATCCACTTGGCGCATGTCTCACTTAACGACAGAAATTTTGGGCTCGGTTGCAGTCGCCGGCCGAAGACCGCCGGTATTCCTTTGCAAAATTGCGATTGTTCCAATTTGCAATTTTAATTCCTTTCCTTTCCTTTTAGTTTATTTCATGGCTTTTATTTTCCCCCAAATTGCTCGTTCAGACTTTGCCTCCGTAATTTTATCTCACTTCGAAGGCAAAATTCCTCCTCGTTTTATCTCGCACGGTTTTCGGATCTTGGTTTTTCACCTGCTTTGCAGAACGCAAATTTGGCAACGCTGCTGGTTTTTTTGTTTGGTTTTTTTTTTTAAAAAAAAATTGGGAACTCCCTTTCTAAAACGATGGCCGGCAGGTTTTGCAAGAGGGGAAAACCTCCAGGGTTCCAGCCGAGTTGAAAGTTTCGTTTTCCTAAACTCACTTCCTTGCGATTTTTTCCCCCCCAGTTTGTTTCTTCGGCTTAGAATCGGAAATGAGTCATTGCCATGAAGAAGCAGGGGGAAAAAAAAACAAACCTATCTCAAAAGCTGGGTTGCCAACTGATCGTTCCTGACTCTATCCTTGCAGGCTCGGTAAAGCACATCCTCTAAACCGGTGCTCTCCAACCTTGGCAACTTTTTACAACTTGTGGAACTTCAACTCCCAGAGTTCCCAGAGCTTTGGTGGCTGAGGAATTCTGGGAGTTGAAGTCCACAAGTCTTAAAAGTTGCCAAGGTTGGAGACCCCCCTCTGCTCGAAACTCTCTGGACCCTCCCACTCAAAGGTGGGTCACGTCTAGGAGTTGCCCTATTTTCACCAGCCTCTCCGCCTCTGACCAATAACCAAATCGGCTGAAAAGAAGCTAGCGGGATACATCTCCCTGGCTCTTTTAAATGAAATATTTAAAACTCCAGCACTGATGGTATTACCTAGTTGGGTCATGAAACGTCTTCAAGGAAACCACCAAGCTCAAGAGTTACTGTATATAAATGGGGAGCGAGTCGCACTTGCTAGCCCTGATGATGTTACCTAGTTGGGTAATCAAAGGGCTGCAATAAGATAAGGAAGCACAGAGAGTGCCAAGAAGTCCTCCCCCACTTCTTCCTCCTCCTCCCCAAACCCCACTCCCTTCTAGTACTGATGATGTTCTCTACATGGATCATGAAATGTCTTCACGGAAACCACCAAGCTCAGAGAACACCAAGGACCCCACACACCTCCTCCTCCTCCTCCTCCGTTATGGCCCCGATGGTGTTACCTAGTTGGGCAATAAAACATCTGCAACAAAGACAACAAAGCTCAGAGAGCACCAAGGACCCCACCGACCTCTCCCTCTTTTCCTCTACACACCCCACTCCCTTCTAGCACTGATGATGTTCCCTAGCTGGGTCATGAAACGTCTGCAGGAAAGCAACAAGGCTCAGAGTGCGAAGGATCCCACAGTCTTCCTCCTCCACTTCACACACACCCCACTCTCTTCTAGTACTGATGATGTTCCTTAGCTGGGTCATGAAATGTCTGCAGGAAAGCAACAAGGCTCAGAGTGCAAAGGATCCCACAGTCTTCCTCTTCCACTTCACACACACCCCACTCTCTTTTGGTACTGATGATGTTCCTTAGCTGGGTCATGAAATGTCTGCAAGAAATCACCCAGGCTCAGAGACTCCAAGGACCCCACAGTTCTCCTCCTCCTCCTCCTCCTCCTCCTCCTCCTCCTCCTCCACACATACCCCACTTCCTTCTAGCACTGATGATATTCCCTAGCTGGGTCATGAAACGTCTGCAAGAAATCACCCAGGCTCAGAGACACCAAGAACCCCTCAGTTCTCTTCCTCCTCCTCCTCCTCCTCCTCCTCCTCCTCCTCCTCCTCCTCACACAAACCCCACTCCCTTCTAGCACTGATGATGTTCCCTAGCTGGGTCATGAAATGTCTGCAAGAAATCCCCCGGGCTCAGAGACGCCAAGGACCGCACAGTCCTCGTCCTCCTTGTCCTCGTCCTCCTCGTCCTCCTCTTCACACACACCCCACTGCCTTCTAGAGAGCAAGCCACCCTCCACCAGCACTGATGTTTTTACCTACTTGGGCGACGAGACACCTGCAAGCAAAGAACCCAAGACACACACACACACACACCCCAAACCAAAGGCTACCATTTCCCAAAGGGCCACCAAGCTGCAGCCTCGGCGCCTCAAAGCTTCCCATGCTGACCCTCCCGATCCTCAACCCACCCACAGAAAAGCAGGAGGTTACTGTACCAAGATTTGGGGAGCTTCACCCGCAGGGGAACGCCTTCCCTTCTGCACAGGAAGGCCAGCTGTCCCATCGCTCAGAGCTTGGGTTCACCCTCGGGGAAGAGTCCAGCTGCGGAGGCCCCGTCACCTGCTTTTGGGTGTGTGTGTGTGCGAGAAAGAAAGAAGAAAACAGCACACCGGGGAGGAGACTGCCTTCTCTCCTTCCTCATGCTTCCTTCTCCATCCGCACACGCCCGGCCGCCGGAGCTCTTATCTCAGTTGCGCTGCTGCTAAACCATTTGGCAGACGGCCTGCGGGCTGGCTCACAGCTCTTGTCTGTTGCAAGAGAGGTTCTGCTTCCACACACACACACACACAAGCACACACACACACAAGCACACAACTGTCCTTTGCCAACAGCTCTCTTCATTGGCTGCCTCCTGACCTGCACAGGAAGCTCTCTTTTAATGACGGGATGGGTTGGGCAAGGCTCGCAACACTGACCCAACCAACCAGGCTCAGGTCAGCCAGAGAGAGAGAGAGAAAGGAAGAGAGAGAGAAAGAGAGAGAGAGAAAGAGAGAGACAGAGTGAGAATGGAAGAGAGAGAGAGACAGAAAGAGAGAGACAGAGTGAGAAAGGAAGAGACAGACAGAAAAAGAGAGACAGAGTGAGAAAGGAAGAGAGAGAGAAAGAGAGAGACAGAGAGAGATAGAAAGAGAGAGACAGAGTGAGAATGGAAGAGAGAGAAAGAGAGAGACAGAAAGAGAGAGACAGAGAGAGAGAGAAAGGAAGAGAGACAGAAAGAGAGAGACAGAGAGAGAGAGAAAGGAAGAGAGACAGAAAGAGAGAGACAGAGTGAGAAAGGAAGAGAGAGACAGAAAGAGAGAGAGAGAGTGAGAATGGAAGAGAGAGAGAGAGACAGAAAGAGAGAGACAGAGTGAGAAAGGAAGAGAGAGAGACAGAAAGAGAGAGACAGAGTGAGAAAGGAAGAGAGAGAGAAAGAGAGACAGAGTGAGAAAGGAAGAGAGAGAGAGAGAGAGACAGAGTGAGAAAGGAAGAGAGAGAGAGAGACAGAGAGAGAGAGAAAGGAAGAGAGAGACAGAGAGAGAGAGAAAGGAAGAGAGAGAGAGACAGAAAGAGAGATACAGAGTGAGAAAGGAAGAGAGAGAGAAAGAGAGAGAGAGAGAATGGAAGAGAGAGAGAAAGAAAGAGAGAGACAGAAAGAGAGAGACAGAAAGAGAGAGACAGAGTGAGAAAGGAAGAGAGAGGGAGAGAGAGAGAGAGAGAAAGGAAGAGAGAGAGAAAGAGAGAGTGGGAGGGAAGGGGTGTTTAGAAAGAGAGCCAAGGAATGTTGGACAATGAGAACATTCCCCGCAGCAGGCAGAAATCTTGAGGTCAGGAGGGAGGGATCACGCTTGGTCTCTTTTCCACGGCAGCTCTTAGAGCGATGGTCTCAGCCAGCCAGTAAAAAGCCAGAGGAAGGAAGGAGCGGAAATATTCTGAACTCAAAAGGATGACCAACTTCCTTTCCGTTCTGTTCCGCTCCTGGGAACTTGGCACCCGTGCACGCAATATATATATTTGGCTTTGCACTGCCCTTCCTGAAGTCACGTCTACTTCCCCAACGTAGAGTGATCGGGTTGTCTCATCATCCATGTACGAACTGGGTCTGGCCCAGGGGTGAAATCCAGCAGGTTCTGACAGGTTCTGGAGAACATTTTGAGTAGTTCGGAGAACCGGCAAAATGCCACCTCTGGCTGGCCCCAGAATGGGGTGGGAATGGAGATTTTGCAATATCCTTCTCCCCAGGAGTGGGGAGGGAATGGAGATTTTGCAGTATCCTTCCCCCAGGAGTGGGGTGGGAATGGGGATTTTGCAGGATCCTTCCTCCAGGAATGGGGGAGGGAATTGGAGATTTTGCAGTGCTTGGTGCTCGTTGAGCTTGATGGTTTTCTTGCAGACGTTTCATGACCCAACTAGGTAGCATCATCAGTGCTAGAGAGGAGGAGGAGGAGGAGGAGGAGGAGGAGGAGGAGGAGGAGGAGGACGAAGACGACGACGACGACGACCATGGGGTCCTTGGTCTAGGAAGCGAGGATGGGCCCTATCCAAGAACCACTCTCAACTCTCAATGGCTCATCCTTGTAGACAAGACCTTGTAGAAAGCCAGATTCACTTAACAACCGTGTGACTAGCTTAACAACCGCAGCGATTCAGTTATCAACGGTGTCAAGAACACAGACTTCAGAGAATAATTAGAACTGCCGAAAAAACCATGGCTACCAACCTGCCTCCCATGGAGGACCTGTCTACTGCACGAGTCAAAAAGAGGGCTGGGAAAATATCTACAGACCCCTCGCATCCTGGACATAAATTGTCTCAAATCCTACCCTCAAAACGACACTATAGAGCACTGCACACCAGAACAACTAGACACAAGGACAGATTTTCCCCTGAACGCCATCACTCTGCTCAACAAATAATTCCCTCAACACTGTCAAACTAATTACTAAGTCTGCACTACTATTACTATTAATCTTCTCATCGTTCCCACCACCCATCTCCTTCCACTTATGACTGTATGACTGTAACCTTGTTGCTGGTATCCTTAAGAGTTATATTGACTGTTTCCTAATATTGCTTATTTGTTCCCTATGACTATCATTAAGTGTTGTACCTTATGATTCTTGACAAATGTATCTTTTATGTACAGTGAGAGCTTATGCACCAAAGACAAATTCCGTGTGTGTCCAATCACACTTGGCCAATAAAGAATTCTATTCTATTCTATTCTATTCTATTCTATTCTATTCTATTCTATTCTATTCTATTCTATTCTATTCTATTCTATTCTATTCTAAAAGAAAGGTCGTAAAAAATTCACATCACAAACTGTCTCGCTTATGGGATGGAAATTTGGGGCTCGATTGTGGCTCCTAATTCGAGGACTACGATCCTGGGCTTTCCTTAACTGGGCAAACGGTATTGTGTTGACTTCGATTTCGGTTATTCTTTGAGACCGCAAGGAGGTAAGAGACGAAGCTGCTTTAATGCAGGGTGCGTGAACCCAATCAACGTTTTACAAGCTTCACCCAGTAAACGGAGACCAACTGTCGTTCTTGAACATCAAAGCTAAGCTTGATAAGAAAAAAAACGAATCTTCTCAAAGTCGTACTTCTTGGCGCTAAAAACCCAAATCTCCCTACGTCAGAGTTTCAAAGTCCAGATCGTATAACTTGGTGTCCTGATAAGAGAAGAAAGGGAACTGGCCGTTGGCTACAAAGATCACCAACGGAACTGGTTGAGGTTCTCCACCCATTACCCTTGGAAGAGGAACCTTTCTGGAGAGGCCCTGTTCACTCACCAGCGGGAGAGTCTTCTCTAGCCAGGCCGGGCAGCTCCATCTATGACATTCCTCAGCTTTCCTTGATGTTTTTCAGACCGTCTACTCTCTCAGCCTGGGAGAAAGCCACATGCAAATGGACGGAGGGAAGGTTCAACAATGGACAAGATTACGTCCCCCTCTTTTGCATATCTGTCCTAAAGGTTAAAGCCCAGAGCGAAAAGCAAAAAAAAATAAAAAAAGAATGACAAAACGTGAAGCAAGAGGGGAAAAAAAAGAGGAAAATACAACGTTAGAGATAAGAATCGATTGCAATCTGAAATGCTCACAGCTGCAGAAAGTGAGTTTGTCTAGTCCAGTGAAAAGAAGGACGAGTGTGTGACACACTAGCGGTATTCCAATATTTGAGGGGCTGCCACGAAGAAGAGGGGGTCAACTTATTCTTCAAAGCATTGGGAGGCAGGACGAGAAACAACGGGTGGAAACTATTCAAGGAGAGAAGCAACCTAGAACTAAGGAGAAATTTCCTGCCAGTTAGTACAATTAATCCGTGGAACGACTTGCCTCCAGAAGTTGTGAATGCTCCAACACTGGAAGTTTTTAAGAAGAGGTTGGATCACCATTTGTCTGAAGTGGTGTAGAGTTTCCTGCCTAAGCAGGGGGTTGGACTAGAAGACCTCCAAGGTCCCTTCCAACTCTGATATTCTATGTTCTAGGTGGATGACAAGCGAAACGTCTTCAGAGAAAAACCAGAAAATCCAGTGGCCTCTTGAAAAAAGCATTTTTGGGGACAACCATGACGTGGATGACTGAGAACCTCCATAGACAAGGAGAAGGATGAGAAGGAGGTGGAGCAGAAAGAGAGAAGGAAAAGAAGGGAGGAAGGGGAAGCAGAAAGGAAGGAGGAGGGAGAGACGGAAGGGAAGCATCTACGTGCTGAAATTCTTCCTTTTGCAACTGTCTGTCTGTCTCTCCATGCTCTCTCCCTACAATCGTTTGCACCCTACTTTTTGGACTGCTGCTTGTGCCTAACCCTGGAATAATATTTAGCGACAACCATCCCATGGGAGGGAGGGAGGGAGGGATTTTCCCTGAGCTCACTGCTCAGGGAAACTGCTTTGCATGCATGATTATCCAGAACCTGCCAGACAGGGCTGGCCACTTCCGAACGAATAATGGGATGGATGGTATCTGCAGTATCTTAGCTTGATGTCCAGCTGCATTTGCCACACGAGAGCAAGCTGGGGAGGCAAGAAATCTAGGATTTCTTATTGCCGTCTCCAATGAACTCTTGTTTGCAGGCAAGAGCTCTACTAAGCAGGTACAGTATATACAAAAGTATGAAGGCTATTGCTTAACGCATTGTAAGCCGCCCTGAGTCTCCGGAGAAGGGCGGCATATAAATCGATAAATAAATAATAAAGAGGCCCTAACATACTGTTCAAGAACAGGTGTCTTCTCTTCTCTAATACAATTGACATCCTGAATCTTAAACGTGCCCCAATTTAGGATGGGGCTGGGAGGGACCTTGGGAGATCTTCTAATCCAACCCCTGCTCGAAGCAGGAGACCTTATATAACATCTTGGTCAAAGGGTGGTCCAGTCTGTTTTTGAAAACCTCCAGCGATGGGGTATTATCGCTTCTCGTGATCTTGATTCTTTCTACCCCTCTTGTTGATGCAGCTCAGGATTGTGTTGGCCTTTTTGGCAGCTGCAGCACGCTGCAAGATCCAGATCCACTGGATCTCCATGATCCCTCTTGCAGTTACGTCTGTTGAGCTAGGTAGTGTTGTGGCCCGCTGGCAGCAAAATCGGACGGTGAAGTTGGGTAGAAACGTGCTTGGACGAGGGCTCTGCGTCGGAGGCAGCGAGGGAGTTAAGACAGCAGTGAGGCAGAGGAAGAGCTGGAGCCCGTTCCCAGTGTACTCATGCGCAGAGCTGCCAGAAGACAAGAACTAAGAAAGCAGGGTTGACTCGGGAGTAAAGCTACACCTTGGAGGTGATTGGCCCCTCCCATAGGAAACAAAAGAGGAGCGAACAGGGAGTGGACTTTTGCAGGAAACTATTCGTTCATCCCGTGACTCTGTGCCAAGTTTTGCCTAGTTTGGAAACTAGTTACCTGGCAACTTTCCAAGCGAGATAAGGTCTGTGTTGATAAATATTCCTCTGAAAGACTGTTTGGACAAGCCTTGCTGACTGTGAATGAAAGGAATTCACAGTCGTGTAAATAAAAGGAGTTTTGCCGGGACCAAGACTCTGCTTCCTGATTTTTTAAGGGAGTTTAGGTCAGAACAGGTACCACCTAATCTATTCCTGAGCTTTTGGGTTTTTTCCCGCTTTTCCTGCCACTGAACTATTGGATAAGAATGGGAATAGTTTGTGCAAGTTTGGGGCAAAATTCTTCATTTTTCTGAGCTGGAAAACACACGCCTTTCCTGTCATCAACCTAGGGCAGGGATCAGCAACCTGTGGCTCTGGAGCCGCATGTGGCTCTTTCACCCCTCTGTTGCGGCTCCGTCACTCAAAATATGCGTCACAACCGCCAATGTGCGACACCCGCCGGCACGCGATTTATTGAGGTTTTCAACCCCCGGTAGGTTAACCATAGATAAATCCAAGAAAAGTTTCAGAAGAAAACAGAATGTTTAATTCAACTACATATGTGGCCGCTCAAGAAATAGTTAGGCACGGGGAGAGTTTTGTGGCTCCCGGTGTTTTCTTTTCTGTGGGAAACGGGTCCAAATGGCTCTTTCAGTGTTTAAGGTTGCAGACCTAGGGGAAAGGACTGGGCAATCCTTTCTCAATTCTAGCTCACGATTCTCGACCTCCTTGTTCCCAACTTGAGATCGTTGCCTTGACTGCTCGAAGAAAACGACCGTGTCTGTTGAGTTTTGAAAACGACAGGAAAGTCATCTGTAGGCGGTAATAGTGGAATCCTGCTTTTAGGCATGAAAGCCGACTGGGTGACTTTGGGCCAATTCACCAGGAGGTGGCGAGTTCTAGTCCCACCTTAGGCATGAAAGCTGGCTGGGTGACTTTGGGCCGACCAATCCACCTCGCAGGGTTGTTGTGAGGAAAATAGGAAGAGGAGAGGGGATACGTTTGTTGCCTTGTAAAAATAATGGAAGAAAAACAAATGTCTGTTGAGTTTGGAAAACGACAGGAAGGTCATCTGCAGGCGGTGTCATCATTTTAAGATGGGGGGCAACGAAGGAGATGTTACCCCCCAAAAACGTGGGAACAGAACTTTCTGAGTTTTCTTCAAGTGGAGGAGGAATTTAAGGCGAGGCTCAGCTGCTCAGCATAAATTCAGTTGAGCTTGGGGGAAAAAAAAACGCTCAACAGATAGTCCACGATCGGGAGATCCACACAACTTTCCGAATTATGAAGGTAACAGGAATATAATTGGTGCAAAAAAAGAAGAAAAAAACCCCCCAAAATGGATGAATTCTAAAAATGGTGGTGGCCTCACCTTAAATTCTTCCTCCGGTTGAAACCCAGGCCCCCCCCCAAAAAATATCTTGCAAGGTTCTGGTCAAAACTCAACAGACGTGGTCACGGCCTTGGGAGACCCAAGTTTCAAAGCAACATGAAATCAGCGGTATGGTTCACATTTATAAATTGGGTGTTTTAATTTGTTTTCGGCCAAAATATTTAATAATTTTAATGGACTTTTAATGTTTGTATTATCTGTATTTTATCTTGGCTGTTGACCGCCCTGAGTCCTCCGGGAGTAGGGCGGTATAGAAATTTGATAAATAAATAAATAAATTTAATGTTTACTGCGGCTGCTACTGTCTTTAGCCTGTCGAGATCAGCAATAAATTCTTCTGGGGCCAGCCAGGAAGGGCTCCAGCCTGGCTGCCTTCTCTGAAAAGGAAACGGAAATTTGCAAAAAAAAGATTTGCAAAGGAAAAGGAAATGTCTTGGGATAACATTTAAAACATAAGCACTTTAAACTGGTCAGCATCTTTTTAATTATTTTAATACTGACCGTCTAGGGCTGCGATGGTGAAACTATGGCATGTGTGCCAGAGGTGGCACGCAGTGCAAAATGCAAAGTGGGCGCATTGCCATTTTGGGAGCGTGCACGCTTTGGGCACTCGGTCCGGAAAAGGTTAGCCATCTCTGGTCTAGGGGTTAAAGCTACCAGGCTAAACAGCAGGAGACGGTGAGTTCTAGTCCTGCCTTAGGCAGGAAAGCTGGCCGGGTGACTTTGGGCCAGTCATTTTCAGACTAGCCCACCTCACAGGGTTGTTGTTGAGGAAAATAGGAAGAGGAAAAGAATAAAAGGCAGGACACAAGTAATAAAGGCAGAATAGAATAACTGCATGTGTAATGTTTGAATTGTGGCATTACGAGATGGGAAGCAAGTACGATAGATAGATAGATAGATAGATATAGAAGATAGACAGTAGATAGATAGATAAGAGAGATAGAGATAGATAGAAGATAGACAGTAGATGGATATAGAAGATAGACAGTAGATAGAGATAGATAGAAGATAGACTACTATCTTCTATATCTACTGTCTATCTTCTATCTATCTCTATCTACTGTCTATCTTCTATATCTAGAAGATAGAAGATAGACAGTAGATATAGTAGACAGTAGATAAGAGATAAGAGATAGATAGATAGAAGATACAGTAGATATAGAAGATAGACAGTAGATAGATAAGAGATATAGATAGAAGATAGACAGTATAGATAATAGACAGTAGATAGATATAGAAGATAGTAGATAGATAAGAGATATAGATAGTAGACAGTAGATATAGAAGATAGACAGTAGATAGATAAGATCTAGATAGAAGATAGACAGTAGATATAGAAGATAGACAGTAGATAGATAAGAGATAGATCTAGATAGAAGATAGACAGTAGATATAGAAGATAGACAGTAGATAGATAAGATATAGATAGAAGATAGACAGTAGATATAGAAGATAGACAGTAGATAGATAAGAGATAGATATAGATAGAAGATAGACAGTAGATAGATATAGAAGATAGACAGTAGATAGATAAGAGAGATATAGATAGATAGACAGTAGATAGATAGATAGATATGATAGAGTTGGACATGTTCACTTTCAGTTATTTGGAAAAATAATACAGGCAAAATAAAAATTGAATACCGTATTTTTTGGAGTATGACGCACCAAGAGTATAACACGCACCTTAGTTTTTGGGGAGGAAAATAGGGGGGAAAAAATTCTGCCTACCAGGTATTTTATCTGGCTAGCGTCCTTAGCCTGGTCAGCTTCGGCACATTAGTTCGCCGATTTTGCATGCGTGCGTGCTCAAACTCATGGTTGGGGCTAAAAAAACAGCTTCTATAGCACAGCTGATCGTCGGAGGGAGCAGCAAAAAGGTTTGCTATTGTGTGCAAGATTTTAGTAAGTATAATTGAAGCTGGGACCTAGCAACACAACTTCCTTTCTGATATGATGACGCCACCCTCGGGGGCCACTTTAAACTGTCGGCAAAGAAGGGACTGATTGAAAAAAAAAATGCTTCATTCCTGTCCTTAAGAGGAACCAGGAAGGAGGAACTGGCAAAGTATGTTTTGGTGGAATATCATGTTTTAGTTGCTTGTGGTCAGCGAATAGGAACTCAAGTTGGAACAGAAGAAAGAGGAAACAAAGCAATTTTAAAATTAGGGGCAACAAAGAACCAGGAGAATTATTAAAGATTTCCAGTTTGGTCTAGCGGTGAAGAGGGCCAAGCTAGGAATCGGGACCGAGAGTTGATTCTGAAGATGATGAATATTAATTTTCAAGGTTCTGCTTGTTCCACAGATGGAACGTTGCCTTGTCAAGAATTGTTATATGGTACTGTATACCAAGAGTTACTAAAGTCTGTTTGCTTTGGTAAGGGAAGATACTTACTGGACTGATATTACTGTTTATGACCTTGGACTGTTTTACCTACACCGAGACTGCTTATTATCTTGTATATAAAGTATTTTTCTCACACAAAAAAAAAAAAAAAAGGCAGAACGTTCCCCCCCCAAAAAAACCTATAAGGATGAGATGAAGCGCAAGTGTCATCCCTCCCTCCGATCTTCCGCCGATCTGCCAGAGAAGACCAAGATCTCAAGACTTCAACCACTGTTGGATTCTTCCTTGACTACCCAACTCATCGACACCCCAACGGCGGGAAACAAATTATGGAGGTTAAACCAGGTTCTGAACAGAGGGGAAATAAAAAATAAGATCTTTCCCTCACCCCTGAATCTTGCTATACGGATAGCCCTTAACTTATGACCCCAAAATTTCTGTCAAGTGAACTTTGCCCCACTTTACGACGTATCGTGCCACCGTTTGTTAAAAGCGAGCTGCTGCAGTTGTTAAATAAGAGTTTGTTAAACGAGTCTGGCTTCCCCATTTGACTTTGCTTGTAGGATAGTTGCAAAAAGCGATTGAATGGCCCCAGGACACGGCAAACATTGTAAATATGGACCGGTGGCCAAGATCCAGATTTTGATCGTGTCACCAACGACACGATCGAAAAGTCCTAAGCTGCTTTTTCAAGGCCGCTGTTAACTTTGAAGGGACACTAAAACAAATGGCTGTTAAATCGAACACTTCCTGTGCTTATTTTTCCGAGACTTTTAATAACATTACAGGGGGAAGGGAGAAACTCTTCCCATCCATCTTACCTACGCAGGTAAAGCAACCTTGCAAGCTAACTACCGTCTTTATCTCCGAGCCCAACCGCTGGATTCCCCCCAAGAGACATAACCACAGCTTCCTCTTTTTTGTTGAAAAACTTTTTAATGGGCCAGCTCTTCTTCTTCGACAGTTCTTCAGGCCTTCACGGCGTATTTGCGAGGCGGATAAAGCCGTTCTTTCCGTTGCTGTTTTTTGGTCTTAAGACCTTCTTCGTGCTTATTGAGCCTCCTCCGCATGGCTCGTGTCTTCTTCGGGCGCAAGTCCAGCGGCTTGTATTTCTTGCCCTGTGGGCCGGGAGGAAAAAAAAAAAAAAAGAGAATAAGTCAACACAGCCCGATAAATGCTGGAAGCTCAGAATACAGACAACAGTAACGTGCCGGGGCTGAGCACGGCAACGTCTGTGATGGAACTTCTCAGAGGTTATCAATGGCTACCGTTGATATTTAAGCTGCCACCTCTTGTAGATGAGCAGGCACAACTGGGAGGGGGGGATTAAACGCGTCATCGGTTTAGAATCGTTGTGTTCCCACAAGCGCCCCTGCTGAATTCCGCTGACCCTTATCGGAGCGACAATTTAGAAGTTAGCCGACCAGATTCTTGAACAATAAATCTTCTACGCTGCGATCCTACCTATTTATCTACTCTCGTTTGCATGTTTTCGAACGGATCCTTTGCACCCAAACACCTCTGGGATCAGAAGAAATTGGCTTCCGATTGTCTATTTTGAGTGTCTGCTCCTGGATTATTCCCCCCCCCCAAATATTTGGGCCTCCCAGAAACAGCTGCCTGGCCACTGTGGGAAAGGAAGGCTGATATACGCAGTATTATTTTTTTTCTTAAAAGGCTCGCTTGCAACGGGCTAGTGCACATCCATTGGTATTCAATCATTCCAGGCGTCCAGAAAGCTAAGAATGATGAATGGATCTGTTTAATATTTTATCTCGGTGTGCAAATCGTGTTAAGACTTTTGTGCTTGGCTTTTGATTGTTTGTGCTCTGAATGGCTTGTTATGTGTGATGTAAACACACATCAAAAGAACCTCCGCTGTTTGTTTAGACATTCCCACGGGCTCAAGGAAGGCGTAGGAGAAGGAATCCAGCACGGTGCCAGGGATCTCACCCATGTTCTGACTTGGCATAACTACAGGTGGTCTTCGGCTCGGTGTAAGGGACGCGGTGCTCGGTGGCTAAGACGCTAAGCTTGTCGATCGAAAGGGTCGGCAGTTCAGCGGTTCGAATCCCTAGTGCCGCGTAACGGGGTGAGCTCCCGTGACTTGTCCCAGCTTCTGCCAACCTAGCAGTTCGAAAGCACGTAAAAAATGCAGAAGTAGAAAAATAGGGACCACCTTTGGTGGGAAGGGAACAGCGTTCCGTGCGCCTTTGGCGTTGAGTCATGCCGGCCACATGACCACAGAGACGTCTTCGGACAGCGCTGGCTCTTCGGCTTCGAAAAGGAGATGAGCACCGCCCCCTAGAGTCGGGAACGACTAGCACGTATGTGCGAGGGGAACCTTTACCTAACTATGGGGATGCTGCGACAGTCGTGTGATAAATGGTCGGAAGCTGGTCACTAAATGAACTCCCTGTAGTAACCCTGTGGCTTAGCCAACAGAGAGTGTAAATTCCCAATTCGGTTTTTTTCAGACTTGTATCAAAGTGACACAAAGGAAACAATGGTGCCCTGAGAACGTAATGTACCTGGCAGATAGCCGCCTGACCGAACGGGCTTGGCAAAAGCTACCCAGCAGGAAACCTGGTTTTGCAAGAGCAGATTCTGTGCATCCACAGAATGGTAAGCCGTGTTGGGTGATAAGCCTTACAAGCCATGAGATTCGTCCCTCCTGATGGCCCTCGAGGGTCTTAAAAGATTTGTCTGTTGTTGTCCACCTGCAGCCTCCGGAGCTGGCAGCAGAGTCGGACAGTGAGGAGGCTGGAGAGGAACATGGGCCAGTCCTGGAGTCTGGGGAAGGCCCGGATGAGGGCTCTGCGTCGGAGGCAGAGAGGGCCAGGGCCATCTGGGAGTGATGCACGGACTCCGGGCCTCCAGAGTCGGACAGCAGAGGCAGAGGAACAGGAGGACCCTGTTCCTAGTGCAAGCATGCGCAGAGCTGCCAGAAGGCAAGAGCAGCTAGAGCAAAAGGGACGACTCAGGAGTAAGGCCAGGAGACGATTGGCCCCTCCCATAAGGCTTAAAAGAGCAGCAAAGGCTCTTGGGCTCTTTGTAGGAAAGCAACGTTGCTAGATCTGTTTCCAGTCGGGGTCTTGTTTCTGAACTTTGTGGGGCTTTGCCAAGAAAGGCCTTTGGCAAGGCGCCAAAGACGATAAAGGTTGGTGATAAGCCTGAAGGACTTCTTCTGAAGGACCTGTTTTGCAATTAATTTGGACTAAGCTGGGAATGAAGTAATTCTCAGCTGTTACAATAAAATAGGTTTGTTTGGGACTAATTGTGTCTTGTAATGACGAAGTAAGCCTAGGTCAAAACATTGTCCTGTCCAATCGTGTCCACCTCTAGGTGTGGTGCTCATCTCTGTTTCATAGCCGAGGGAGCCATCATTGTCCAAAGGCAATGATGGTTCATGTAGCCATCATGTAGCCATGGTCATGCAGCCAGCATGACTCCACGTCGAGGCTCAAGGAACGCTGTTACTTCCCCACCAAAGTGGTACCTATTTATCTACTCTCATTTGCATGTTTTCGAAATGCTAGATGGGCAGGAACTGGAGCAAAGAACGGGAACTCAGCCCATCGTGCAGCACTCAGGTCTCAAACCCGAGCTGTCAAATTTCCAGTGCAAAGTAAATTCCATTGGTCGTTCTTGGGGCCTGAGACTTTCCACCCAAAGGAATTTCGAGAAAAAGAGGCAGGAATTAACGCTTCAGACTCACTTTGTAGAATTTTCTGAGGTTTTCTTTCTGGGTCTGGTTAATGACGGTCAGCACTCTGGCAATGGATTTTCGAACCACCCGGCTAGAAATAAAAAAAAAAAAAGAATATATATGAATAAATCACGGGAGGGAATCAAGGATCAGGTCAGAGAAGCAACAAGCAATGCTGGTTTATTCCCTCACAATTTTGGGATCTTTGTTTTCAACTCCGGAGAAGCCCAGGGAAAAACTTACATCTTGGAGAGTTTGGAAGCTGCTCCGCCAGTCACTTTGGCAACGCGGAGCTGAGACAGTTCCACCTTGAGGTCATCTAGCTGTTTCAACAGCTCTTCCTTCTTCTTCCCTCGTAAATCACGGGCTTTTATCTTGGCCTGGGGGCAGAAGAAAATCTAGCATCACAGAGCAAAAGATGGGCAGCTTTTACAAACACTGCCTTTGTGATAAACAAAAAAGCAACTTCCAACATTATAAACTTAAAGTGGCGATGGTATAAAGGGAAAAAAATATATTGCCCTTGTTTTCCTAAAATCACTGGACTCCCCAAAAACACTTTTATCTGAAGGTGAGCAAGGATAACTTATTTAAAAAAAGAATCTGGAATAGGCTTTTTGCCACATGTATCACTCAAAGTTCAGGGAAAGGAAGGAACTGATCAGAGAATAATTAAAAACAAAATTAAAAAGAACATGGGTATAATGAAATCAGGACACTACATATATTTAGAATATTTACTTTGTGGGCCTATTATTCTGACACGTAAAACAGAGCGACTGAGAGATTTGCAGCACAATCTATTCCACCAAATACTATGTAGAAATAGTTGAAATAGTCATATAATGTATAGATTAGATATCGATCTATATAATATAGACGTACCGCATGTAGCGTGGGAGTAAAAGGAAGGAATAATTAAAAAAAAATAAAACTGGAGAAAGAAAAGCATTATCTGACCAGCTTTGGTTATTATGTGGGACTCACGCAATTTATTTTATTTAGGCAATTTATCTACCGCTTCAGTCTTCACAAGCTGTTTTTAATATTCAAATTCAAATCATCAGCGCACAACATAAGTGCAATTGGTTGAGCTTCCTCAGTGGACCCCCAACACAATACAACTCACAGTGAAGACAGAAAACCCCTAACCCAATAAATCAAATTAACAATACACCCCGTCGTATTGCACCCGTGTGAATAGTTCCACTTTGCGCCGGCCCTGCAAGTCCATTGTACTACGTGGTTATGACGACGTACTGTTGACGTATGATGAAGAAGTCCATCGTACTACATAGTTATGACGACGTACTGTTGACGTAGGATGATGAAGTCCATCGTACTACGTAGTTATGACGACGTGTTGTTGACGTACGATGAAGAAGTCCGTCGTACTACATAGTTATGACGACGTACTGTTGACGTACGATGATGAAGTCCGTCGTACTACGTAGTTATGACAGCCCACCGATAAAAACTGTCCTTCAGCCTGTTTTGTGCAGCTGGCTATGCTTCTATACTATCTCCTTCCCCGATGGTTTGCACCCCATTGCAAAGTTGTAGTAAGGAGCGTTTTATGATTTCGGGGAACCATAAACAGTAATGAATGAGGAACGCCCCAATTTATTCCCCACATTGTAAACATCGAAGGATGCAGATTAGAAGGACTTATGATGGATCAGGCCACAGGTACATCTGGATTAACATCTGTTTGCACGCCCCATCAGACCAACTACGCTTGGTCCACATTTCTCCACTTGTGCAAAGCCACACTAGGACAAAATCTTTTTAAAACTGGCCTCTCTTAGCAAGCCCCAAACATGCTCCCCCCACTTTTTTTTGGGGGGGGGCATCCGCTTCCCAAGTGATGCTGCAGCCCCCCCCCTCCCAAAAGTGCCTCCTGGCAGCTTTAAGCTATGCTGGCTGGAGAATTCTGGGAGTTGAAGTCCACAAGTCTTTAAAAAAAGCTGCCCAAGTTTGAAGACGTCTGGTTGATGGCAAAGAGAGACTCCAGGCAATTTGAAGGACCTTATGGGACTTCAACTCCCAGCATTCCCTAGCCAGTTAGGTCTACGGGAACACCATGGTGCCTAAAAGGTTGGGTCCTCCTGGCCCATTAAGCATTTGGGAGCCTCTTCTAGCCCAAGGCAATAAAGTCCATCTCAAGCCAAGGGACTACAAAGCCCACCTAGGCAAAGGGCTCACAACCCGGAAGCTTTTCTTTCTCTTTCCACTCGCCTCCCCCCCCCCCCAACACCCGCATTGCAAAGTCCTCGCTTCTTCTATGCCCCAGCGAGGCCTACTCACTCTCCGCCCCATAGCTGCCCTCCCGCCGCCCCTTCGTTCCACATATGGGGCGGCCTAGCTCAAGCAGCCTTCCCCACGCCAACCCCATTTACACCCCGGACCCAAAGCCCCTTCTCGGAACCGATGGAACCGGATTCGAACCGGTCCCCCCCCCTCCACTCGCCGGCGATTTCTTACCATCACTGCAATGGGGACCCGCTCCTATCGACGAGAAAGGAAAGGACGGAAGCCGGGGAGGAACAGGAAGCCCGCGGTGCGGATCAAACCATGAAAGCAAATCTTATGGGGGGGGGTGGAAGCGAGGAAGGAGTGACGGTTTTGCCTTCTTCTCTTCCCCCCACTCCCTTGTTGGAGTGGTTTAGTCCATGGGAAGAGTGAAGTTATATCAATCTGCAATTTGCAAACGGGTCATTAGGCTGTTTGATCAATTCGGGGATCGAATTATGGAGCAGTTATAATTACCAGCCGACTAATTAAATTTTAAATAAAATTAATTTTATTTAATAAAATTTTAAATACAAAAAAAAAAGGGGGGGACAGGGCCTCTCTTAATAAGGCGTAACTTGGTGATGATGGTGATTTATTGCAAGATGATGATGATGATGATGATGATGATTTATTTATTTATTTATTTATTTATTATATTTCTATACCGCCTTTCTCCGTAGGACTCAAGGCGGTGTACAGTCAAGAAAAATATAGACACACAAACATCATAAAATTGCTAATTAAAATTATTACTTAGTTTGGTCAATTAAATAAAACCCAGAATTAGATAACATGATGATGATGATGATGATAATGATGGTGATTTATTGCAAAACAAGCCGGTTTTGCCCCAGTAAAACGAAGTGTGCAAAGATCACAACTTTTTGTTCGTCTGCGCGCGTCTTTGTGTGTGCGTATGTATGTTCCAGTGGGTTTGTTAGGATTTAATGATTTTCCAAAGCCTGCCTGCTTGTTACTTGAGCCTGTTAGGCTGCATTGTTTGGTAGATGCGGGTGTTATCCGTTTGCCCAGCTCCAGTCTGTTTTTTGTATATATTGTGTGTTTGTGCATTATCAGTTTAATCCAGAGGACTGAGTTTGCTTTTAATATAAATAACGTTTGTAGGTTAGGTTTGTACAACTCTGTATAGGTACATGTATATATGTATGTATACGCATATTATGAATATATATTTATATCTATAAATAGAATTTGAGTTTCCTGACTGGGGTGTGCATTTGTATTTTATGGCTATGTGAAATAAATAGATAGATAGATAGATAGATAGATAGATAGATAGATAGACAGATGACAGACAGATAGATGATAGACACATGGATGGATGGATGGATGGATGGATGGATAGATGATAGACAGCGATGATAGATAGATGGTTGTTGCTAGACATGGATGATAGACAGTAGATAGAGATGATAGAGATAGATGGTAGATGGTAGCTAATAGATGGTATAGATGATAGATGGATGGATAGATAGAAGATATAGATGATTGATTGATGGTAGACATGGATGGTAGATGGTAGATATAGATGATAGGTAGATAGATAGGTAGATAATAGATGGTATAGATGATAGATGGTATAAATGAGATAGATAGATAGATAGATAGATAGATAGATAGATAGATAGATAGAAGACATAGATGATTGATGGTAGACATGGATGGTAGATATAGATGATAGGTAGGTAGGTAGATAGGTAGATAATAGATGATATAGATAATAGATGGTATAGATGATAGATGGTATAAGTGACAGATAGATAGATAGATAGATAGATAGATAGATAGATAGACAGACAGATAGACAGATAGATAGAAGACATAGATGATTGATGGTAGACATGGATGGTAGATATAGATGATAGGTAGGTAGGTAGATAGGTAGATAATAGATGGTATAGATAATAGATGGTATAGATGATAGATGGTATAAATAAGATAGATAGATAGATAGATAGATAGATAGATAGATAGACAGATAGACAGATAGACAGATAGATAGAAGACATAGATGATTGATAGTAGACATGGATGGTAGATATAGATGATAGGTAGGTAGGTAGATAGGTAGATAATAGATGGTATAGATAATAGATGGTATAGATGATAGATGGTATAAATGAGATAGATAGATAGATAGATAGATAGATAGATAGATAGATAGATAGATAGAAGACATAGATGATTGATGGTAGACATGGATGGTATAGATGATAGGTAGGTAGGTAGATAGGTAGATAATAGATGATATAGATAATAGATGGTATAGATGATAGATGGTATAAATGACAGATAGATAGATAGAAGGCATAGATGATTGATTGATGGTAGACATGGATGGTAGATGGTAGATATAGATGATAGAGATAGATGATAGAAGGTAGCTAATAGATGGTATAGATGATAGATGGTATAAATGATAGATAGATAGATAGATAGATAGATAGATAGATAGATGATAGATAGATAGATAGAAAGAAAGAAGACATAGATGATAGATTGATTGATGGGAGTCATGGATGGTAGATGGTAGATATAGATGATAGAGATAGATGATAGAAGGTAGCTAATAGATGGTATAGATGATAGATGGTATAAATGATAGATAGATAGATAGATAGATAGATGATAGATAGATAGATAGAAAGAAAGAAGACATAGATGATAGATTGATTGATGGTCGGCATGGATGGTAGATGGTAGATATAGATGATAGGTAGGTAGGTAGATAGGTAGATAATAGATGGTATAGAATCTAGATGATAGAAGATATAATGATAGGTACATGATAGATAACAGATGGTAGACATAGATTTCATTATATATATATATAGAGAGAGAGAGAGAGAGAGAGAGAGAGAGAGAGAGAGAGAGAGAGAGAGAGACATGGGATTGCACATAATTGCCCTCAGCAACAATACGGCATTTCCTGAGCTCGAGGTGTGCATTTGTGTTGTTATGGGGATGGCACAGGTAGGTAGGTAGGCAGGCAGGTATGCGCGCCCGGGTCTATGTGCACACGTGCACGCGCGCGCCAGGGCTAACTAAGCCTTCCTGATGTCAGTAGCCAAGGGAGCGTGACACGGGGGCCGGGCGTGCACCCAACGTGTGTCCGGCACTCACCCACCCACCCACTCTTTTTTTTTTCCCCTCCCTCCTCCTCCTCCTCCTCCCCCCCCCCCCCAGCCAGCCCCTTCCCCTTCGTTGCAAAGCCGCAGGTAAAGCGCCTCCCGCGGGCAACAACGCCGCGCTCTGACCGGCAGGGGTCGCTCTCTCTCTCTCTCTCTTTTTTTTTTCTCTCTCTCTCCCCTCCCGATGGCCGCCCGGGACTTGCTGAGGGCGAGAGCCAGGATCCGCGCGAGCGGCAGCCGGCTCGGCCAATCGGCGTCCTCCGCCGAGGGCGCGCGTCCAATGGCGGAGCCGCCTGGGCGAGGAGGCGGGGCAGGCGAGGCCGTGCCCAGGTTAGGCTGAGGGGGAGGCGCCGCTCCATCCTTCCCTTACCTGGGGCGACCGCTGAGTCCCCCCCCCCCGCCCCGCAGCTCCGGCCGCCGCCTGGCTGGGCAGCGCCGATGCCGACAGGGCCGGCCCGCTCGCCCCCAAACGGCCCGGCCTCTTGGTAAGGGCTGCCAGCCAAAGGGTGGGGAGGGTCGCGCGAGGGGGGGGGGAAAGCGGGGAGGGGGGCAAGAAGGAGGGGAGGGGGCGTTAGGGGAGGGGCGGGTGGCAGGGATTTGGGGAAGGGGAGGGAGGGGAGGGCTGGGGGGATTTGGGGAAGGTGGGGGGGGTGGTCTGGGGGCGCAGAAGCTCCAGCCTTAGAGACATTGGGAGGGGGCGTCCAAATTGGGGTGGGGGGGTTCCAAGCTGAATGATGGGGGCTGCTGCAATATCCCAATATGGGGGGGGGGCATTGGGAGAGTTTAGGGGGAAGGGGCAGCATTGAGAGGGGGGGGTTGAGTCTGCCATTGGGGAGGGGGGCTGGAGGGGCCTTTAAGGGGGGGTGGGGGTCCAAGCTGAATGATGGGGGCTGCTGCAATATCCCAATATGGGGGGGGGGCATTGGAGAGTTTAGGGGGAAGGGGCAGCATTGAGAGGGGGGGGGTTGAGTCTGCCATTGGGGGAGGGGGGCTGGAGGGGCCCTTTAAGGGGGGGGGGGGGTCCAAGCTAAATGATGGGGGCTGCTGCAATATCCAATATGGGGGGGGGCATTGGGAGAGTTTAGGGGGAAGGGGCAGCATTGAGAGGGGGGGGTTTGAGTCTGCCATTGGGGGAGGGGGGCTGGGGGGCCCTTTAAGGGGGGTGGGGGTCCAAGCTGAATGATGGGGGCTGCTGCAATATCCCAATATGGGGGGGGGGGCATTGGAGAGTTTAGGGGGAAGGGGCAGCATTGAGAGGGGGGGGGTTGAGTCTGCCATTGGGGGGGGGGCTGGAGGGGCCCTTTAAGGGGGGGTGGGGGTCCAAGCTGAATGATGGGGGCTGCTGCAATATCCCAATATATGGGGGGGGGGGGCATTGGGAGAGTTTAGGGGGAAGGGGCAGCATTGAGAGGGGGGTTTGAGTCTGCCATTGGGGGAGGGGGGCTGGAGGGGCCCTTTTTAAAGGGGGGTGGGGGGCATCCAGGGTAGGGGGGTGTCCAAGCTGAATGACGGGTGCTGCTGCAGGATTCCAATTATGGGGGGGGTTGGGAGAGTTTAGGGGGGAAGGGGGGACAGCATTGAGAGGGTTCGGAGGTTGAGTCTGCCATTGGGGTGGGGGGGCAATAGGGAGAGGGGTTGCAAGGGGAGGAAAAGATATGAAATGGGGTGGGGGCAGAGAGAGTAGCATCGGTTGATGCCTGATGAAGGGTTGCCTGTGGGGGAAGGGGTGTCGGAGAAGGAGATTTGGGCCGAGGGGTCTCCTCGGGAGGTCTGGAAGGACAGGCAGAGGTCTTCTCCATCCTCTGCTTGCCTTGGAGCCCGTTGGGGGGGTGTCAGCTGACCCCCCCTCCACCCTCCATGCAGATGGGAAGGTCCACCACCATGAAGGAAAGCTTGCCTTGAGATGCTGAGGTCTACGCAGAGTAGAAATGGGGGGGGGGTGGAGAGAGTTGACGGTGAAAGGACAAGGGAGAAGATTTGGGGGGCACGGATCTCTGGATGAGGAAGGAACGACCCAACGTGGGGACGACGACAATGACGGGGTCGTGGTTCCAAGATGAGGGACAGAGGAGAAATTGGGGGGGGGGTTCTTCTTGAAAGAGGACACGAGGAGGGGGGCTTCCACCTGGAAATGGGGAGCAGGGA